ACTGTGTAACATACCAGCGATAACACTGTATATATTAATACATGAACACAGTCACAGTGTCACTGATAACATGAAAAGAGAGATAGAGGGAGAAAATGAGATAGAGTGAGAAAGAAAGAGAGGGATGGCTGGGTACTTGCAGGAACCTGTATATTCATAAAATCACAGCGAAGAGCACATAGTTTGTGTTGAACATCCTACCATTCCCCCACTCTCTCTTTTGCTCTTTCTCTCTCTCTCTCTCTCTCTCTCTCTCTCTCTTCTCTCTCTCTCTCTCTCTCTCTCTCTCTCTCTCTCTCTCTCTCTCTCTCTCTCTCTCTCTCTCTCTCGTGATTATGGTAGGTAGCAAGAGAAGAAATCATTGGCATACATGCAGAGTATTAGATTGAAAAAAAAAAAAAATCGGAAAATGTATATGTAAATATTCCCATTAGACTAACATAAACCTATGAATCGATTTGGCGCTTAAATTACTCATTACTTTTATCTCAGTTCTGTGGTTCCAGTTTTAAACCCGAACTAGAAACACTCAGAGAGCGCATACTTTCGCCAAGGCAATAGGACAACAATAATTCAAGCGCCAAAAATTGTCCTTATCTCGCAATGCTAATAATAATGACAGCTATCTATATTGTCAATAAGTGATGCAACTAAAAAAAAAAAAAAAAAAAAAAAAAGGGTTCCGTAACACTACCAGTTTCATGGCATCTCAAAGCGTTTTAAGTAGGGAAAGTTCTTACCTAAAATCTCAAGAATTTTTCTTGCCAACTCAAGAATTTTGCTTGCTTTCTCAAGCGACCGCGTAGATGGCTAGACTTGCGCTTGTCACGCGGAGTGCCGTCACCATGGCAACAGCGTCGTTCGCGTACCGTACTGCTCCCAATCCTTCGTATGCGGGCGTTGGCTAAGAATTCCGCTTAATATTTTATCTGAGAAATAATTTCTTTCACGGTATCTGATTCTGTAATTTCCATAAAAACATATTCAAAGAACTTGAGATTAACTGAAAACGAAAGGAGATAAAGGAGATTATTTATCTCTTACTTTTAAACTCCGCGTCTCTTTAAATATATATTAAATATATCTACTATTCTATGATTAGAGAATATTTCAAGTGAAAAAAGTCTGAGATATTCTAGCAACATTGTTCTGTTGATATTGTATTCGGTGTGTTATATTTAACTTCATAAAATCGTATATATGGGATGGGTAGGCCTATATTTTAATTCAGTGATGTTCTTTGTTTTGATAGTGCGTCAGAGTGAAAGGGTTGTCCATCAGAAGTGTGTGTCACTGTTTTAGAGGCACTTTATTTGAGTATAGGAGAAAATGTTGAGCTTTGTTAAGATTTTAGGGTAGATTTATTTACTTCCCTTCCGCTGGCTTGTCAGCTGTTTTGAAATAAGGGCTCAAACTGGTACCAAGGGAAAGGTTAGATCAGTAGCAACTCAAGGAGGTTATGACGTCAGATTTTGATAACGTCACAAAATTTGCGATTCTGTTTTGGGAAAAAGCACATAGCGTTTATTATTCATCTTGGTCTTTTCAATTGTCAAAAAGGATGGAAAATAATTATTTTAATTCTTATATTTATATTTGGCCGCCGTAGGAGTCGAGAAATAGGTCTGTATTTTTTACTCAGCTGAAAGGAATTAAGTACACCTACTTTTGTCATTACCTCCATGCACTCAATGAATGAGTTATATTATTTAATGTACAGGATACCAGGCCGGGATATTTTAAGAATAGCACATGTTCATGTTTACATTTTGTACAATTTCCAACAGTGTTAAAGTTTCAATGGCTCCTCAGGCGTATTTGACTTCATAAAGTCTTGTTGGCCTGGTATCCTACACATTATATAAAATACTTTTCATTCATTCATTGAGTGCATGGAGGTATCAATAAAACTAGGTATACTTGATTCCTTAAAGCCTAGTAAAAAAAAAAATAAGGCTTTTGGATTGACTCCCACTTGAGAATCATTCATGCATAAACATAATCACTCTTCTCATTCACAGGCCTATTTTAATGATTGTTCAAGGAAAATATAACCATTAGAATAATTGTTTTCCATCATTTTTGAAAATTGAAGACCAAAATGATCGACCATATTCACAAAGCATCCGTAACTTTGGGAGTGAGATTTTTTTTTTTTTTTTTTTTTTTTTTTTTTTTTTTTTTTTTTTTTTTTTTAGAAAGCGTTAGACCCACAAATGATGAACAATAGTTTACAGACTCATAATGTTACCGGAGGCTTTGTGAATAGGGTCCCAGGATCAGCTAAGAATTTGCTAAACTGCCCAGTTATCATATTAACTGTTTGGTCTTTTAGTCTTTTAGCAGGGGAGTGGTTCTTAGCTCGATATTTTCGAAGTATAGGAAGGTTTCTGCTTTGCCCCTTGGTTGGGTGTTCAGACTATGTTACTGATATGGCGTGGCTTCTGAAAATTATGGGGCCATTGTGGGACAAGGCCATGGTAGGTTTAAGGGGTAAAAATTTAATAATGAAGTACACACATGGCCAGTTTAATTCACATATATTTACACAGTTAAATAAATCACATAATACACTTACAAATTCTATTAAAAGAACCAAATGATGACTGTTACCCTTGTTGTTAACCATTGAAATAGGATGGATATTCTAGTATACCTTCCCAAATTTGGCAGATGCCCAGCAGTCCTCCTCTTGGCTGAATGAAGGTTGTTCTGTACAATATATGATGAGAATATTGACTAATACAATAAAAAATAGATAAGAGGAAAAATGAATTTGTGATTTAGGAAAACAATGAACTTTAAAAGTAAAATCCATATAACGAACTAATGGAAAATAAAGTTTTCTTTGGAATCATCACTACCTGTGAAATAAACTGTCATACAAATTGACCTCATCAACAGCACAACCAATACTACTCTGTGATCCAATGAGACTTATTTGTATTTAAAATCTGGATAAATTCCCCTTGTGGGACGAGTAAAACTCTGCGCTTTGACTGTTGGCCGCGGGGACAAAACATGGGGAAACAGCCTTGAATAAATTTTCAACTGCCAGAATATGGGTATAACTGAACCAGTCTTTACCCTAAAGAATATCATTGTCTTCCATACTCAGATTGACACCGAGATTCCTATCAACAGTCCAAGCAGAATATGGATGATTAACTACATTATCCTTAAATTTGATTTTCAAACGCCTTGCTGGACCTTGTGGAGCAGAGTGTTCGTGGCTCCGCTTTTTCTGTATTGGCTGGCTTAGCTTTGGATCCTGTATGTCCAGGTCTATAATGGTACATTTTTTCATTATGTTAGCTTTTTTGTCAATGCGATTTGCATAAGGATGACTCTTCTTACCACACTGTCTGCATGGCAACTTCTGCAACATATATTTCTTTTTGGTACTGCTAATTGTTTTGCTTTAAATTTTTGACTTATTTTTTTTTTTTTTTTGGATTTGGACCTGGGGAAAGAGATGGTAGATCCAAGGAATGTATATTTTCATCATATTTCTCCCTAGCATCATTCCCAACAGCTTTTAACTCGCTGTTATTCTAAGTTTTCTTTGGTGGCAATGACCAGAAAGAGGGGTTGCAAGTATCACTGGCATCTAAGCAGGATTCACCTTGATATGCAACCGTAGCAAGGTTGGGATCATTGACTTCATCAGTTTTAAATTCAGTGTTGATATTAGGAGAAAGATCGCAATTAATGGCAACCATAGGCAAAATTTCAGATTGAGAATTGCTAAATACCTGGAAATAGAGGGCATTCCTATAATTTTCGAGTAGCTGTTCCCATTGCCAGTCAGGGAAATGCTTGAATACAGCACAATGATGTCTGCAGGCAAGATGGGATCTCTTCCAGTCCTCACATGTACATGATGGAAAAGACTTTTGGCCAAAGTCAACCATATGGTACACAGCCTTAATGGATAGGCTCTTCACTTCAAAAATGCCATCGGCTAACATTCCAACATTAGCCTTTTTCACTTGACTACCACTAGACAATCTTCTCTTGAAATGCTCTACAAATGACGGTGGTCTCCCATGTAGGATCACAGGAAGCTCGTCACTGTACTTCCGATATTCTTTTGTTAACTTGGATTTTTTTTTCAACAAAGCTGAAACACAAAATTGGGTATATTAGTAGACTTCGGTGAAAGCACACTACATTAATCCTGGAATTGCACAAAGAAGATAAAGTGATAGATTTGTTGCTCTTTTTCCCAGGACTGATTGCTACCAATCTCGAACTTAGTAAATTGGCCACAGCACAACAAAATATATGATTGGGATGATTTTCAATTATATGAGGGAAAGGAATTTGCTTGGATATGGTAAAAAATACAAATTTATATTATCTAGCAGATTAATTAATTTTTGAAAGGACTAACTGACAATGCACACTGGAAAGAAATCCTTTTGTATCTGCACTGTTTAAATCACTTAAATACTGCTTGGAAACTTACCTCTTGAAGTAGCTTGGAATGAATTGTTCCACAATCACTTTCAGCGCACCATGGAGGCTGTTACCACGATACTGCTTCAGAAAGAAATACTTCAAATTATTCTTCTGGCTTTGGTGTTGAAATCTGCCCTGCCGAAATGCTCGAACCCACCTCTGTAGAATCAGCATTAAAGGAATTTATTAACAATATCAGATGAATATAAAGAGGAACATGATAGTATAATCCTTCTAAATGATCATCAATGTTATTACTGTAGTTGTATCACCACTAAGGAACAATGGGTCATTTATTCAGTGCTGGAACATGCAACACAAAAACTTTGCTAATTTGAAGAAAGGCATAATTTCAGTTCAGAAATATATTAAATGTTGGGATTTTTTACGCAATGAATGGACTTAGGCCTATATAACTTTCAAACATGATAATCATGGACTTGCCTTATGCTCAGGCTCCCATTTTCCTTTAAAACAAGTTTTGTAAATTCTGACTTGATTTCCATTGGTCGCTGCCCTTCAATACTGCCAAGTTGGCTTTATACTGCACTTCTGTGGATGACTCTGTGATCCTTGTCAGAAAGGGAAGTATGTCTTGTGGTATTTCATTTGATTTCTTTCTGATGTAAGTCTCCCTTGCCTTTATGTGATGAAAATCACACAATATAAAAGATCCTGAAAAAACTTCCAGAAATGTTACATCATATATGTGCAATGTACTATTGGCCATGGACCATGTGCTCACAATACATATATAGCACTCCATATACCTTGCTGAAGAAAAAAAATCAGATAACCTTTACCTGCCAAGCTAAAACATTTCCATGTCATGTCAAAATGATGATTGCATGAATATGAAGAGGTTATGATTGAATGTTGATAGGTTTGCATTGACTTATTAAAGCGTTTTAAGCAGGGAAAGTTCTTGCCTGAAATCTCAAGCGTTTTTCTTGCTAACTCAAGCATTTCACTTGCTTTCTCAAGCGACCTCCGTAGATGGCTTGACTTGCGCTTGCTAAGTCAAGCGGTGTACCGTCACCATGGCAACGGCGTCTGTCGCGTACCGTACTGGTCACGATCCTTCGAATGCGGGCGTTGGCCAGGAACTCCGCTTAATATCTTATCAGATAAATATTTTTTCACGGTATCTGATTCTGTAATTTTCATAAAATCATATTCAAAGAAATTGAAATTAACTGAAAACGAAAGTTGATAATGGAGATTATGGGAATAAAAAGTTTTACTTATGAATAATAAACGATTATCAGACGAACAATTTTCCTCTTATTGTTAAACTTCTTGTCTTTTTAAATCGAGAATATATCTGCTATTTTATGAAATAAAGAATATTTCAAGTGAAAAAGTCTGAGAAATTCTAGCAACATTCTTCTGTTGATATTATATTCGATGATTTGTTATATTTAACCTCATAAAATCGGATATATGGGGATGGGTAGGCCTATATTTTAATTCAGGGATATTCATTTGTTTTAATAACGCGTCAGAATGAAAGGGCTGTCAATCGAAAGTGTGTGTGTCATTGTTTTAGAGGTATTTTATATGAATATAGGAGAAAATATAGCGCTTTGTTAAGATGTTTGGGTAGATTTATTTATTTCTCTGCCATCTTGATGCGGCGCTAGATGGTCAGTTGCTTTGAATTGCGCGCTCAAACTGTTACCAACCGCAGGTGAAATAAACTCCACCCTCGATTTGTGCATGTTATCTCTTTCCGAGATTGTTGGTGGGAATATTACTTTTAAAACCCAAGTATGTATATTTCGTGTGTTATTTTGATATTTCTATGCTCATCAAGGACTGTAATGATTTGTACTTTATAAAAAGACATTTCCACATGTCTGGCATCACTGAAGAGGGCCTGCCTGCCTTGGAAAGCGTTTTAAGCAGGGAACGGTACAGCGCTTGGCAAGAATTCTTGCCAAGCGCTCCCCTGCTTAAAACGTTTTTAGTCCACAGGAAAAGTGCTCACTAAAACTGCACATGGAGTTGCTATGAAAAAAAAAGAGCTTCAGCAATGGATTGCTTTGTTGCATTTACAGTCACAGTAGTCAACATTTGTTTTGATGGCCAATATGAATAAAGGCACTGAAATGATGTTTGGTGGACAAATAGATTGTCATCAGCTTTTAAAGATCTTGTCTTCTGGGTTTGCCTTTTGCCAATTTTCAACAGTTATTTCTACATTCTCTTGGTCACCACGGAATTCTTTGTTGACAATACTGCACCATAAAAACGATTCTTTGTTGGGAAGAATCTCCAATCCAAAATGTTAAAACCCAACTTCTCATCCTTGACCAAGTTTATCAGCGAAGAAAATGAGGTGGCGCTGTAAATCAGGAACCTTGGAAACACCAGCTTTAATAAGTTGCTGTACTTTTTCCTCAACTTGTTTGTCGACCGTATTTCTTAGACCACAGCATCCTGAAACAAATTGTAAAGGTAAATTAGTTATTTGTGTAATGACTGCATGTTTTCATGCAGAGGAAATGCAGGATTAGTAAGACCATAAGCATGATTTATTATTGGGTCGGGATAATAGGCAGGATCGGCATTAAAATTAGAAGGTTGAGGATTTGCTTATCAGATGGCTCATGTTTGCCTGTAACCCTTTCCCAGTCACCTCACTCCGCTGGCCAAATGAGCCCCTACAATGAGTCGCCCTCACAAGCATAGGTCAAAATTAGGCGTGCCTGTATCTTTTGTTTGTGTTTGTGTCTTGGTAAAGCAAATGAAATTAATAAAATGAAACATCTTTGAAATGGTAAGTTTTCTTGATCCTTGGAACATTATTGTGCAGGAAGTGTAATGACAAGAACATTCAACGACTATTCTCTGGAGAGCAGAAAATCTCTGGCTTACATTTCCAACAGGATGACCTTCATGCCCACTGTCAGAATCTGGGAGGGTTACATGGAACGGGAAAGGCGAGATCAGTAGCAACTCGAGGAGGTCATGACGTTAGATTTTAATGACATCACAAACGTTGCGATTCTGTTTTGGGAAAAAACATATAAGATTTATTTTGATGATGGCAGCGCCCACGAACTGGCCGGATAGCCCACTCTGCTGGCAAGAATTATGCCAAAAGGTGAATGAACAATTTTATTGCGAAATTAATGATGATGACAATCTTTCACTCGAAGCATTTATAAGAAATTACGAAGTCGCTACCACCACGAAATTCATGCACGATTGGACGAGCGAGGATTATGCAAAGTCTGCTAAAGGTAGGCATTTACTAAGCATTCACAGTCGCACTGCTGCAGGTGCACCTAGCTAGCTAGGCAGTAAGCTCTCTTGCCTTATGTAATGTATGTGACAAAAAGTATACGGTCAGAGGCAAGCAAGACGTGAAGTTTGTCATTGGAATATAGGTCAGATAGCTGCGCCACAGAAACAGTGCATGCAATGCAGCCTCCACACCTCGCCTGCCCTTGGCCTTTCTTATATAAGCAGCAGGACTAGCTCGTGTCAGCCTCCTGCTGGGCCAGGGTATAGAATAGGGTATAGATTGAATGAATCGGATAGTTATTCGATGAATGGATAAAGTAAATCCGGAAATTACCCTTATTAAAGATTGGCAAGTGAACATCTGACAAAACAAGTTTTGGTACAGGTCAAGTTTCTGCCAGCCTTTTTTTTTAGACGAAAAATGATATTTGCAAATGATAGAGCAAGTGATTTTAAGAAACTTATCTTCTAAGACCTTTTATCTTCTAAGAACTTTTCATAAGACACACAAGTGTCTCAGAGCCTGGAAATTTACCTGTTTGTAACACCTGACATCTAGGCTATCTAGTTAGGAAAACTAAAATTCTGAAGAATCTTGGTTAGGGGTACCTTAGTTTGAATTCATAATATAGTTTTTGGTTGATCAAACTTTTACCTATTACTTTCTTTACAGAAACCATAAATAAGGCAAAGAGCTGGTGCGGCTCCAAAGGAATCCTTTGGAAAACAGCCAATGGAACCGCCTCAGACATTCCCCAAATACATGTTGGGGCATGTGCCCTGGAATGCCATCAAGGAGAGAATAGGTATTTGAAGATTAAAGTCAGGCGCCAGGAAAAGAAGGAACAAAAAAGGGTAATGTGATGCATACTTCGTCTCAACTATTGATGATTAATCAGATTCCCAGATGAAATTAGGTCAAACAAAATGATGTTCTGTAACTGACGTGTTGCTTTGCCATTTTGACCAGATATTACATGTATCTTTTTGCATGTCAAGTTAAAATGGCATTTATAACATCTGGAGGGGCAAAGAGCCTAATTCTATTTTTGAAAACTAGCCCCTGGCATACAAACTTGTAAACATAACCTGCTGCATATTCTGACTCTATGCTATTCAGCTGTAGGTGAATCACATCTCTTAGATTAATTTAAATTTAACTCCTGATTTAGTTGTGATATGAAAAAGGTAAATTTCAAGCAATTCTGAAAGAAGTAACAAAGTGGGGCATCATTTCACATTTTGTTCCATATGAATCGGCCTGTTTTTCCTATTCATATGCATTTTTTTATTTTTTTTTATTTTTTGTAGGACAATGAATATGGATACAGTAGCAAAAATACCATTAGGTTTAAAATTGCCCTGCACAGACATAAATATAAAACGGGTCCTATTGTTCCCAGAATTCCAGGTAAATTTGGGTTTATTGATTATCTTTTACAAATGGTGTTCCATGTGAGAATATACAATCGGAAGCGGCCTCTCCAGAAAAAAAGTCTGTTCATGAAGAGATTTTCTGTGGAAATATGACTCAGAGTTGAAGTTAAAGTGACTGACTAAAATAGTTGAGTTTTCTTATTGATTAAATATACCACATTGTTTTTATTGAATTTAGAAAATGTTTTGCTTGAAGTTGATGTACAGTGATTTCAACCACCACACACACACACACAAAAGGTAAATTAATGAATGAAAAGTATTTTAAGTACATGATACCAGGCCGGGATATTTTTAGAATAGCACATGTTCATGTTTACATTTTGTACAATTTCCAACGGTGTTAAAGTTTCAATGGCTTTTCAGGCGTTTTTGACTTCATAAATTCTTGTTGGCCTGGCATCCTACACATTAAATAAAATACGTTTCACTCATTTATTGAGTGTATGAAGGCATTAATAAAAGT